TTTATTTATCAATAATTAAATCTTTCTATTCAATGTAAAATGCACTACATTTTAAACTACCAACATTCTTCTTACAAGCTTAACACCCGTAAACCTAAAAGGGAAATCCCAATAAGCGAAACCCCCATCACTTTTGGCTTTTTCTTTGTTGTTTGTTCCTTTTTTTTTTTTAATGTGATATTGTGTTGCTTAGTAGTGTTTCTTGTTTCTGGCACTGTGTACCCTTTTAAGGGATATGTTTGATTTCTTTTCTTTTTTTTTTGTTTTTTTGGCTGTTGACAGTGAGGTGGCATTGGTGAGGGCGAGGCTGTGGGGGTGGAAGGGATTTCGATGGTGTCAAATGATAATGGAAAATGGAGGACAACTAGGATTTGAAGGTGCAATGATGGGTGATGAAGACAGAATGGGGTTCTGTCAAGCTTGAGGGGGCTATTCAGCTTTATGTTTTTCTTTTTGTTTGTTGGTTGTTGCTAGTAGCTATATTGGTGAGATTGAAAATGTTAAGAATGGGGATTGGGCTTGGTCATTGAAAAGAAAAGGTAGGATTTTAGGTAGGTGATCACGGTGGAGGCTGTAGGAAAAGAGGCCAGGCTTGCCGATGCAAAAGTGGGGTTGTTAGGATTTTTTTTAATCTGTGAAAAATTTGTTCCCCTTCACTCCCCTAATCCCCCCTATGAATTCCCTTATTATTAGAAGTCCCCGGTAGATATTCTTCAATCCCTTTGAAAAGATGATTGGAATTTTTGGAATGTAGTTACAGTCGGTAGCAATGGCTTGCTAGCTACTATTTGGGGTTTGGAGCCTTTTTCGTCGAATTATGCTGGAAGTTAGTAGGTAATAAGGACGGTGAAAACCAGAAAGCTTGGAAAAGCAAACAAGAAAATGGAGGGTTATTTGGCCAACCCTGTCAATTTAATTTTTGATTTTTTAATTATTTAAAGTAATTAATTTTAAATAAAATGAAATTGGACATTGAATTTGAACTAACAATTGAACTTTGTACTTTCATTAGGGTTTCAAGTCAAAGTGATCGAATTTTGAAATATCTTAAATTAAATTGAATTGGATTTTAGCTATGCCAAATAATTTTGAAAACAAATAGTTCAAAATCAGTTGAAATAGGCTCAATCTAATTAAAATGTTTTAATTGGTTCAAATTGAAACGTTTAAATTGAACATAAGAATCGAATAAATTTGAATTGATTTGGATAAAATTAGATGTCTACAATACTTATTACTTTTTGAATTATATATTTATTATAAAATAATTTTATTTTTTCAGGGGAATTCACTCTTTTTGTTTTTTTTTTAAATTGTTTTTTTACTTTTTATTTTTTATAAATTTTTATTAAATTATAAAAAATAAAATTAAAAAATTAAAAAATTAATATCAAAATTCATCATGTGTAAAGTAATTTAATTTTGTTCGCTTTTGTTTTTAATTTTTTTTATGTTTACAATTTTTAATTTTTTATTTAATAAATATTTTTAAACATTTTAATTTTCTATCCATTTGCTATTATTTTTAAACATATAATTTTTAATTACTTTTTTTTTAATCTGATAATTTTGAATATCGTCTGAATGTAAACTTAAAATTGGTACCATGACAACTAAAAATCTCTAATTGCCATCTTGAACGACAAAACAGCAATTTTAGCTTGGATTGATCATGTGTTTGATACTTTTTGTTGCATACAACTATTATTTGCCTGTTTACGTAGTGGATGAGCAGTATCACATATTATTATTATTATTTGCTTAATTGACCAGGAGTAAGAGTTTCAACGCATCAATCGTGCAGGTTTAAGGTATTCAAAGTTTTGGGTGACCATGTTTGCAAGTATGGGAACAAAAGCAAGCTCATCAGGCTTCAGACAGGCTGGATGCCCTGCTCGAGCTCATCGGATGCCGCTGCTTGGCGGCATCCAAGGTGTCTAAGTGAGCTGCCAAATGAATATATATAATATACTACTCACGTACAGATTTCTTCAAGGGTTATGAATAGAAAAGTTGTCTAGCAGAAAAAGCATAGACTGCAAATGTTGCGCTGGTAGCTTTTTGAAGTTTATAATAACCTTAAAATATGTATGGATTGGAACAGTTAGGGAATACAAAGAGTAGCAAATTCCCAACACGGAATTCCGAAACGTCGAGAGGTGTTTACCCAAGCGTAGCCAATAATTGAAGAATGGAATCTAGCTCATTCTAAAGTCAGCCTGTAGATCGTAGACTGGAGCTGGAAAAATGGAAGAGTTGACATTGGATCATTCGTCATTCTAGTATTGCCGTATCCTTCCGAGAAGGTGTGAGCATTGACTTTGGATAAACGTCTAAAAAATGTTGCTTTCCAAAGTCTTCTACAGCTAAATTGATCAGCTCATAATTTCATAAATATATGAATTAAAAGCGGCTGGGAAGAACGCGAACATTTGACGCCCAGACCAACATTAATATTCTGTGTCGTATCCATGCTTTACAGATAATATAATCGTAAATCTTAATTATGTAAGCATGCAGCAGAATCATACTCATGATCTCTTACAGCTGTAATGCAAAAGGGAAATTAGCCATCTAATCACGGACTCCTTATCAAATGGTTAAATTAATTATCTACAACTTGTATCCATGATCTTTGTTGAAAATTGAAACTGATCAAACCCTAAATCTCCAAAAAAATTACTGATCATTGTATCCGTGATGTTTATTGAAATACCTAAAATTTTGGTAAACGTAGAGACGGATACAGCTATATAAACCATCCGGATTGCAGACAAAGAGAATCAATCTGATGTAGGACATGAAATTTAGTCATAGATTTCATATAAAAAACATTATTTAAACTTTAGTTATGCTCATGGTTAATGAGATTTTTAATTACAGAAGGCTAGATTCTCGAAACTTAAAACAATTTTGCAAAATAAAAAGTGAAGTATTTTTACTTTTTTAGGCTATGTATGATTGTGAAAAACTTAGAAAAAGTTTATGAAGTTTATTATTAAAATTGATTAAATAAAAATTAAAATTGAAAATCTAAATCAATAATTTCAAAGATTTTGTTACATAATGTATAAAATTTTAAATTTTTTTAATAAATTTTGATTTTTTTAGATAATTATTTTTACTAAAAATTTTGATAAAATTTTTATTAGTAAATAAGTATTTATTAAATTTAAATTTTATAAAAATTATTTTAAATTATTTTACATATTATTGATATTCTCATTAAACTCTATTAATTTATTGCTTTAAATTTAAAATTAAAATTTTTATTGAATCATTTTTAATACAAATTTCACAAATTTTATTTAAACTTTGGCCCCGTAAATGCAAATATGCAACAAGGTCGTTATTATATGAAAATCCCCCTCAGACACTTTGCAGTAGTAGTTTTATGTTTTTAGTATTTAGGCAACCAATTCAGCAATATTATAATTTATATTGTACGTATCAAGATATAAGAATCATGTGATATAATTAATTACTAAACAAGATATAAGAAAATATTTTTATATTGTATCAAGATATGAGAATAATGTGATATAATTAATTACTGAAGAAATTAGTCAACGCCTTGCGATAGCTAGATTAGGTTTTGGATAATGTTTTAATTAAGCTCGTAAATTTAGGCTTAGACAGGATGACGTTTAATTTTATGTTTATTTTATTTTAACCGTTCATTCGATTGTTATACTTTTAATTTGGTCTTGTTTAGTAACATCATTTTAAAAAAAAAATTAATTAATCATTAATCATTTAAAAATATTTTAAAAAATGATATTTAGTAACAAAAATTAATGTTATACTTCAAATTTATCACACTAATAAGAATCATTACATCAACTTTTTGTTGGAAACAAAAGGGAAGCCATCCTCAAATTATAGTACTATTAGTATTATTTACAATAGTCACAGTTTTTTTTTTTTTTTGCAAGAAGAAAAGAATTGTATCACTATATCAACAAAGTACAGATCATTTTTACACACAACTACTGATATCACAGTGATATAACGTAGCTCTGATCTCCATTTATTTGAAGAAAAAATAAAATTGTTAAATTTTGTTTTCTATTTCTGTAAAAACTATATATTTTAATAAAAAAAAAAAAAAAACCCAAAAGAAATTTTGAATTTCAAACTTCAAAATCGAAACCAGCGTTCACCTTCACGAAGTACAGGAAGTACCAAAATTTTGTTTTTGCTTTTGTTTTTTTTTTTCTTGACAGGCGGTGAAGGCCTGGAAATGGCTGTCTGCCGTAGCGGACCACTAGCATTCCACAGCTGTACCCTGGCTCATGTTAGCTCGATCCAGCTAAGCCAATTAACAAATCGCTTTTTCTCACTCCACGATCCTTTCACCACCCTTTTTTAATAGCCGCAGGCGCGTACTCTCACGTCCCATTTCACCTAGGATACCCAAGCTTCATCTCCTTTACCAAGTTTTGGCAAAAACAAAAATCTCTTTACCCACTCGCTGACTGCCAGCTGGATTAGTCCGCCGTTCCCAATAAAATTAACTCCAGCCTGTCTTTTCACGATTATCTACGTCCTTTTCCCGTATTTACCCTTCCAGTGTTTCGTAATGTGCTAGAAAGCCAAGGTTATTTTGGTCAATTCGAGATTAGGCAAACTCTGACAGGCTGTTAGCTTTTGTTTCCTAGTGACGAAAGAGCTCTCTCAGTTCCGCAAGAAACCTAAAAACGCGCGCCTTCTTGGCATTGATTACACTGCTAAATTTCATTGTTGCCGTGATGTCAAATGCCCTGGTTAGCAGAAGAGGGAAAAACTGTTTTCTTTGCTGCTTTTGGCTTAAAAACGCGCTCTTACTGGCCAAGTTGCAATTCGTAAATGGGAAAAGCCCATCTCACTCCATTTTTTGTCTGTTTCTCTGCAGGTTCCCTTGCTTCACTCAACCTCCAAAACTTTTTTTAATTCAAAAAACTAATTAAAGTTCAATAACTAAACTCTTTTCCAGGCCTATATATACCCTTTTTCACCCTGTCAAATCCTCGACTCAAACACAAACTCATAGCCATCTCAGCTTGGTCTTTTTCTCTGCTTGATACTATACAAATTCAAAGCAGTACCTTTTTTTTATGTCAAAAAACAAAATGGGTTCTTTTGTTACTAAAATTGTCTTAAAAATTTTCCTTCTGATCTCTTTGTTTCAAATCTCTTTGGCTGGAAGGAAGCTGAGTGAAGTGGTAGAAGACCACCCTCAGCTCTTGACGTACCACAATGGTCCTCTTCTTTCAGGCAAAATTACAATCAATCTGATTTGGTATGGCAAGTTCAAGCCTTCCGAGAGGGCTATTATCTCTGATTTTGTCACTTCCCTTTCATCTAGGACTACACCATCTCAAAACAACCAACCCACGGTTGCCCAGTGGTGGAAATCCACCGAGAAATATTACCACCTCACCTCTAAGAAATCCTCTCTTTCCGTGTCTATGGGAAAACAGATTCTTGATGAAAACTATTCACTTGGGAAGTCGCTCAAAAACAAACAAATTGTTGAATTGGCATCAAAGGGTGAACAAAAGAATGTTATTAACGTTGTCTTAACAGCATCTGATGTTGCTGTTGAAGGGTTTTGCATGAACCGGTGTGGGACTCATGGGTCTGCCTTGGGATCAAGCAATGGTCACATCAAGGCCAAGACGTACTCCAAATTCGCTTACATTTGGGTTGGTAACTCCCAGACCAAGTGCCCTGGTCAATGTGCCTGGCCATTCCACCAGCCAATCTACGGACCACAAAGCCCTCCTTTGGTTGCACCAAACAACAATGTGGGTCTTGATGGCATGGTGATCAACTTGGCTAGCCTCTTAGCCGGGACTGTCACGAACCCTTTCGGAAATGGTTACTTCCAGGGCCCAGCTGACGCACCATTGGAGGCTTCATCAGCTTGTCCTGGAATTTATGGTAAAGGGGCTTATCCAGGCTATGCAGGAAACCTACTGCAAGACCCTACAACTGGTGCTAGCTACAATGCTCATGGTGACAATGGAAGGAAATACTTGCTTCCTGCTTTGTATGATCCTGCTACATCATCGTGCTCAACTTTGGTCTAACCATTCGAAGTTGTGATTAGCATTTAGTGTCAGCAGAATGTAAATGTAATTCTTTTATTTGTTAATTTATTAATTAATAATAGATCAGCAAACTACTTTGGTTTGCTTCTATCATAATTGGCGATTCTTTACGTTCAAGTTATTGGTAGGACTATTAATTTTACATTATTAATCTCTCTAATCAGCTTAGTAGCTCTTATGCTTTTTAAGCATTCCCAACTTTCACATATTAACAATTACCACTTTTTTTTTATTATTATACAATTGGTACGGGATTTGGTCAAGAATGTAGGTAAAACTTTGTACCAGAAACTTCCGTTTCTGCTTCTCGGGTTCTCTTGGCCCAGATTTGGAGCAGATATGGATGTTGAAATGTTAAGTGCCAAAAAAAAAAAAAAACATACAGTTGCCAGCAAGAATTGGGACCCCACCGGGGACAACGTTCATTTTCAAGCAATTATGGACATTATTTCGGGTAAAATTATTGTAGACAATTATTCACGCTAGTGCTTTTTTTGCTTAGCACATGTCTTGTCCTAAGATTTATAACTTTGTGCCTTGGGATTTCTGATGCTATTTTATTCGTGACAGGGTTAATATCATAAAATATTTTAAAACTATAATAAATATTTAATATGATATTAAAATTTAAAATTTTTTTAATATACTATTTAAATTATAAATTTATAATTCATATAATATTTATTTTAAATATAATTAATTTTAAATAATGATACGTAATAAATAAATAATTATTTAAATATTATATTAATTAATATATTAAATTTTTTAAAATTAAATATCATATTAAATATTTATATATAATTTAAAATCATTTGTAATATGTGCTTAAACAGTTAAATTTTACAAAAGTTGAATATGAAAGGGAAATTTCAAAGAAATTTGCGAAATGGTTAGGGAAAGATTAAATTATTGGTAATTCAATTGAATTTTTGTAAACATTGGATTTTGTCCACATCTATCATTTTCAATCTTTGGTTTAATAATAATAATTTGATTTAATTAATATAAAAAATAAAAATAAAAGTGATAATTGATAAAAAAAAAAAGAGGAAAAAAAATCAGGATGGTAATGGTGTTTTACATGCCACCACTGCCATTCACCCTGTCACCACTATCTCTAATCTTATTGGAACCCCTGTACCTCACTTGCCCTAACTGCTCGAAACTATCAACCTTACCCTGCCATCACACCCATACCTCGTCAGATGTATGTTCCAATGGCTACCACCATTTTCAGTCTTATAAAACCCCTAACGTTTCCCTTTTCAGTCTCTCTCGGATATCCCCTATCGAAAACTTTCGGACAGATCTTCGAAACTTTCAGACATATTGCCTTCAGTACCCTCTCATTTTTAATCCAAACACCAAACCAAACCTCTCCCTTCAACAACCCCAAATAGAACCCACACCAACCACAAAAAAAAAAACATAAACAAAAAGACAAACACAGTCCTCCCCGCAGGGAGGAACCTCAGCGCCAAAGCTCTTTGCAAGAATAAAAAAATTAAATCAGTCTTCGATTTACAAAAAAAAAAAGAAAAAAAAGAATAAATAGAAAAAAAAGAAAAAAGAGAATAAACAGAAATCTTCAAACCCCAATCTACGTCGATCGAGGCTTTTTTTCGTGAAAAAGATAGCAGATTCGAGCTCAGGGGGTTGAGAAGGATATTTTGGTGAATTCTGAAAATTTTTCGATCACCGATGACGACACAACGGTGATTGGCGCTGCGGCACGGCACCGAACTCCGACCGAAGCCAGAGAGCATTTTCAGACTGAGGAGATTTTTTTTTTTTAGCAAAAGAAAAAATGAGCAAATTTTTTTTTTTTAAGGTTTATATAGAAAATTAACCAGCTCAAAACGATGTCGTTTTGACAGGGGAGGATCCGCTCATGGACTCGGACCTGACCTGGCGTTCGCGCAATCAACCTGACAACCCAGCTCCTCAGCAAATCTGAACCGGTTTGACCAAACCGAACCAAACCGCTCCTTAGACAAGCCCGAACTGTTCCTTAGTCGGCTCAATCGAATTGCACGCCGAACCAAACCCTTTTCGTTCCAACTAAACCGCCGTTGATCAAATCATTGACCGATTCGATTCAGGTAAATTTTTTTTTATATATTATTATTTTTGTTATTTTGAGTATTTTTTATAGTTATGTATGATGAATTTTTAAATTTGTTAGGATAAATATTTAATTATTTTAATAATAATAAAAATGAAAACAAGTAAGATAATAATTAAAAATATATATTAAAAATGCTTTAAAAAATAATAATAATAAATAATTTTTCTTATTTTCTTTGCCTAGATGGTTGAGGGAATAAAACATATTCCTAAAAATAATTTCGCCTAGATGTTAAAAAATTATTATTAATAAATTTTCATAAAAAAAGAAATATATAAGAAAATTTTGATTAATTTTCAAAAATCGTTAAAATTAAACTTGCTCCGAAAATTCGCCTAGATATTGGAGATTTTTAGAGATGTTCGCATTTTCTGAAAAACGAAATGTTAAACACTAATTCTTAAATCCAAACACCTTAAATCCAAATCCCTAAAATCCAAAACCCTAAAATCTCAACCTTTAAATTCAAACCCTAAATCCAAAACCCCTAAAATCCAAACCTTTAAATCAAAACCCCAAACCTCAAATTTTAAAAATCAAAACCCTAAAAACGAAACTCTAAATTTCTCAACCCTAAAATTAAACCTTAAAACTTCCAAACCCTAAAATTCAAACCCTAAAAATGAAACTCTAAATTTCTCAAACCCTAAAATTAAACCTTAAACCTCATAACCTTAAAAATGAAACCCTAAACCTTTCAAACCCTAAAATTAAAACCTTCATATTCCAAACCCTACAATCAAAACCCCGAAGCTCCAAGCTCTAAAATCTAAACTCCAAACCTTTAAACCTTAAAATTAAACCATAAATCCTCTAAACCCTAAAACCATAACTTCAAATCTCAAACATTAAAATCAAAACCCCAAATCTCAAACCCTAAAATCAAAAAGCTAAACCCCAAAATTTGAAACTTGAAACCCTAACCCTAAAATCCAAAATCCTAAACCTTGAAATCCAAAATTTTGAAAACCCCAAATTTGGTACAAAATCCCAAATCATTGACTGAAACTCACCAAATCTTTAAAACCTTGACCTATACCCAATTTTAAAACCATTTCGAAACTTTAAAGATATGTGTGAAAATCTCAAATGGAGTAATTTATTCTCGAATGCGGCCTGAATGATGAGGTTTTTAAGAAACTTTATTCCATTAAGTTTTTCTTGCAAGTCCTTAATGCGCTTTAATAATGAATCAAAAACTTCAATAAATAAAAAGTATAATAATATAAAATGAGATCTTAAATATGAACAATTGCACCTAAGCTCCGCCTAGATGTTGGGAAGTCAAGATGGTCTCATTATATTTAAGAGTCCAATTTCAAATTTGCATTTCATTATACATAGCACCTATTAGCTTACATGCATTTATTTGTTATTGTTTGCACTCATTTTGCATATTTGTTGTTACCTGATAGTATCATCCTTTTTTTTCGTACAAAATGTTTTCTTATTTATTTGTTTTTAAAAATATGCAATTTTAAAAAAAAATAAAAATAACATTTCGAAAGAAATATTTTGGTACTCTATCTAGATGTTGGAGAGTTACCAATAATTTTTTATAAAGAGTGTTATTTCATTTTAAGGATTGTTGTGTTAAATCTTAAGCGAAAAGAGTTATTTTAAATTCTGTCTAGATGTTGAAAAATTTTAAGATAATTCTTTAACTTAAAGATTTTCTCAATATTTCTAAATAAAAATTTTAGCAAAAATATTTTTTTAAACAAAGGAATTAGTATTAAATTTTAAGTCAAAACCACTTTATCCAACACAAAAAATAATGCATGATTAAATGGTACCAATTTAAGGGCATTATGGGGGTGCTAATCATTCCCCACATGTAACCGACTCTCGAATCTAACCTGATTTTCTTAGATCAAAATTTATCTTTTTGATAAACTTTAAACTTGCTTTTACAGTTTTATTAAAAAGATAAACTTTTGGGTGACCAATCACACCCTAACAAAGATTAATGGTGACTCTTCTCATTTATTTTGATTTTAAAACTCCTTTACGTCTGGCATTTATTTTGATTTTAAAACTCCTTTACGTCTGGCGGTCCCAAAATCGTTACAACAGCTTGGCGACTCCTCTAAGGACTTTAATTCGAGAGTTAAGCCAAAACTTTTAATTATACGCTATTAAGAATTGTTGGATTTAATTGGTTTTATTTGACATTTCATTTAATCTCCTTTATTTTGATTTTTCAAATATATATATGTTAACGAATAAGATAAATTGTATGTTAGTCATGATTTTATTTGCGTGTTTATGGTATTTCTATTAATATATTATTTAGCACATACTTTGCATATTCATGCATGAGCTTTAAGCTCGAGCTCTATCCCTTTTAAGAGGAAGTAAAATAGCTACGCTCTCGTGAGGTGATAACTTTCGTATTTGCTAGCGAAACACTTTCACTCAGATTGAACCCATTCCGTTAGTAGCATGTAATGGGTGAGGATCCGGGAGCCTTACTAATCTATAACGGATGATGATGTGAGAAATAGTCTGAAAACCTTTAGACACGTAAATCTTAACCCGACATATAGTAGGCCGTAAGATTCAACCTTAAGAAAGAGCCATGCTGTCCATTTTACGAGAAAATTACCTAAACTAGGGCACTATGTATATTCTGCTATGATGTATATTATACTTGCTCATTCATTTACTCATTATTTATTTATTTATTTGTTCTATTTACAATATTAATTTGTTTAATTCTTTTGTTGTCTTCAATTTTGTTGCATATATCATATAGGTACCATATTTCTTAGAGGGTATTGTTTTTGATCAATTTTCAGTAATAAAAACTTCCAAAAAACCTAAAAGATGTCATCCGTGTGTAAGAGCTACCTAGAGGTCAAAAGTCAATAAAAAATACTCAGGACAAAGAAAAAAATTACTTAGTAGATGGTTACATATCGGTGCTACCACAGTCAGTGCATATGGATCTCAGTCAAAA